CTATCTGTTTCTTACAATTTGAGAAATGGAAACCAAAACTCTGCACAAAACGAAAGTGAGATACTAGAGTTATTGTTCATTGAAGTGCTTTTCGTGGCTTACAAGCCAAACAATCAGATACTTTCTAATTCAATCGCAATTCAGAAAAATCGTGTAATAAAACGTTGAGATGATATTGGCATTGTCATCTTGCAACTGTAGGAGCACAAGTTGAATCGTCTTTGTTGGACCAATTCTCTTTGATCCCACAGGCTTGGATCGAACGTTCAATCTGGAGCCCTGCAGCTTCCTTTTCCAACTGAGAACAATATCTCTTAAATGTCTCTATGCTAACTTGAAGCCTGAAATCTATAGTAAACAAGAACTTCATTTCCAACCTATTCAACTCACTTGTGCTCACTCCTCCTACTTTGGCATAGTATGCATTGTTGAAGAATCTGCAAAACCATGTTAAATGCTTATCGTCAGAAGCTGGTGCTGAAGGGAAACAGAGAAAAACCATTACGAAACAATTTCCCTGAAAAACGATGGAGTATATCTAATTCTGAGAATAGTACTTACGCGTCATCAATAAACTTCGCTGCTAGCATTACACTTGTTATCAGAAGCCGGTGAACATTGAAAGAAGTTAAACGGACTTCTGTGCACTGGATAAATCTGTCCACATAGATCTGTGCAACAACGAAGCATGATGGGCTACAGCCAGAGTATTTAAAGATGCGATCAACATATTGCCGAATGCTCAAAGTGGGTGCTCGTAAACCATGAAATATGGTCATGACTTCTTTAATGTCCGTTGCCTCCAATAGCATCTCATTCTTTTGAACACATCTCTCAAGAAGTGATGAGAGAGGTGACAGAACCCGAGGGATTTTCATAACTCCTTTTGCCGATTCCTTTAGCCCCAAATGGCAGTAAACATCCGAGCCTACGTTTTCATTGTCAAGTGCCAAAGTTCCCATATTTGACCTGCAAAGTAAAACATTGATTAACAAAAATGAACTAGTAAGCTGGCATGCCCCTGCATTTTGTAGTCCAAATCCAATACATGATAGATGCTCTACAATTTTGGTATGACAGGAACTTTCATTGAACACACAATGCAGCATTTGTGGTACACATTGTGAAGGACTAAGAAAAGCAATTCTTGGGTAGTATTCTAATTTGCATTGAAAATACTGAGACAAAAGTACTAAAGAGCATTTTTACCCAAAAAAGTACTAACGAATGGAAGTTATATTTAAAATACTACACCATCAGAATATCATCACATTCTGGCAGCTTACCATAACATGCAGTGGCTTTAAAAAACCCTTCTCTATTCTTATTCCTCAAATATTTCTAAAATTGGTTTATAAATCTTAAATATATGCTCCTTTTATTAATTATAGGAATTGAATACTGTCTAAATCTAGATCATTCAGTACAGTTGTGGCTCAGTTCTACTTATTTTCAGGGCCTTTTCTCTTAAGATTCTAGGTTTTCCTCATATGATATGAAACTCATTCTCACTTTTGGCATTTATTATGACTGAAGCAGAGATCTATCTGATCGTATGTTATTTCAAGATTGTAGGGAGGCAATTCATGCACAAAATTGCTCCCCAAAAAGAATTCACAGACCATTTTCACAAATGGAAACCTGTCTATTGGCATTGCTACGCAATACATTGATGTTCTATCTGCTCATGAACTAACAGTGAAAATTCCTACTAAAAATATGAACTTTAGCAGAACCAAATGTGCAAATAGATGAAGCTGATACTGATAAATCATCAAATGCTCCACAAAATGAAGCCCATAAAAAAAAATCTCATAGAACACAAGGATTTGAAGTCATATAATCAATTATCCAAAAAGAAAACAGTTGGCAGTAATTAAAAGAATAGAATTAGACAGACCCAGAACAGTAAATCAAGAAATTCAACAATCTATGAACAGCCCACATCATATCTGACCAGGAAACAGAAAAAGGATAAACCTTTTTTCATCAAATCCCAACCCAGAAGATACAAGATCGAAATCCAAATCAAGAAATGGAAGCAATGCCATAACATATAAAGAAGAAGATTACAAAGAAGGATATGGGGATAACTTACAAAGATCCTTCTTAATAAGGAGCTATCTTTATTGTCTTTTCTTGTTGCTTCACCCACATGAAAATAAGCACAAGGAAAAACAAAGAAGGTACACTGAACACACAGACCTCACTATCTTAATTCTTGGAGTTCCTTTCTTCTCTCTGGCGCCATATCCTCTTTTATGCACATTTCTGCTGCATAGGGTCAGAGAAACAGAGAGAGAGAGGGAGATCTTTTGTTAGCAACACAAGTTCATACTCTCTCCGGCCCTAAAACAAGTTGTCGGTGTGTACTCCACACCAGTTTTTAAATGAAGAGTGGGCAAGGGCTTCTTATTATTCTTGCCTTCACGGTGGTTAAGTGGGCCCCCACCCAAGCCACCTTTCTTTTTCTTTTCCACCGCAAAGCAAGGGATGCACCTATTTTTTCTAAAAAATAAAACATGATATTTTCAATTACTCTAAATTATTATAATTTATCATAAATAATCAAATCCGTGTATAAAAGGAAGGATACGTTAAGTCGGAGGATTCGAAATTGAGTACAAGGGAACCTAACCACATTTGCGTTAATTAGCCTTCCATCCCAAAGAGTAATTTTCTCCATAAAGATTAATAAAGCTTAGATATGAACTTCCGAAAGGTGCAAGATCCTATAGATTATATGATATACATTTATCTGGCAACAAAAGAAAAGATGATATACATTTCTTAATTGCCTACTTAATAATTAATATATATGCAAAATGTTTATAATTGAGCAAGAAGTGACAGTCTAACTTATGTTTGAGCCATCTGAAATCCATTATGTCATCCTCATATTTTTTCCTTATCGTACATGATGATCATTGTGCATATTAATTAAGAGTATCCTTTACTTATAAAAAAGAAGAAGAATAAATCCAAAATTCTTAAATATTTTATTTTTTCCGTTAATAATGCCACAACATAGGACATGACACCTTTAAGTGGTCACTTGTGATGATAATGACTGGCAACCAGAATACATGAACCCCATTATTTATTTTTTTAAAAAGATGAGTAGAAAGGTGTGGATCTTGATTAATCTCAATTGTTAATCAAAGTCCAAATAACGCTTTTGATAATGCATTATTTCCAGGGCGGTGATTGGATTTTCTTCCTTTTTTTTTTTTTTTTTTTCTGTCTTGCACAGTTGATTTGACCACACCAAATACTTAGTTCAAGTAAGAAGCAATTGGATGATTGCGCTATGGGACTATTTTTATTCATTCATCATTCAAACAATTATATGAATTAAGTTGTAGTGTGAAGAAATTACATGTTACGGGAATATATTTCACTCCTCATTCTAAGAGTGAGACAGAGAAATGAGAGATTTATCACGCGACAAATAAAAATGAATGAATAAAGAAACGATAGATATATCCGTAACCTGCAAATTTGGATGACATTTGACATTCAAAATCCGGATTGGCAGAGGATGAGAGGACAAAGTGAAGAGGATTAATATAATTGTGGATTTGTTGGCATCCCAATTAGTCTCCACCGAGTGAAGCTAAAATTCCTGCATAACTTGCTGTTTCATTATTGAACCTGTCCAAATTACAGCTGGCATCTGTCTCTTCCGGCAGCATAAGAAATTTGGAATGTCATGAGCAGCTAAAATTTGTCGGTGGACGTCGATCCAAATTTATTTATAGTGTGGGCCAAATGTACGGCCCAAGTCCAATATCTAAGCCCACCTCCGCATCCAAGGCCCAATTCAAATGCGACATGGCAATGGCATGACCAAAAACGTAAATAAGTGGAAAACTAGGGGCGTTGTTTTTTGTTCGGAGAAAAAGATCGCGTCGTAAATTCCACGCTTCGCTCTCATTTTTTTAAAGTTGGAAGATTTGGGTGTGTTTTGTCATGATTTCCCTCCAATTCCCAATTGCCCCCGCACGCACTCTTCTTTTGATTTTTCTAATTCATTGTGGCATATGATGATATGATTGCTCTGAGCCACACACTCTAAAACCCCCAGATTTGATTCGTTTCCCAGACAATTTTCATTTTCCCGGAAAATCTAAAAACTCATCCAGATACAAAAGTTTCCTTTTACTTTCTTATCCCTCGCCGTCTCTTTTTGCTCTTCAATTTCTAGGGTTTGCTTTCGCTCCTTTCTGTTTCCCGAGAACAGAGTCGTGATTTGCTCCAGGTACTGTATTTCTTTGTATAACTCTGTATGTTTCGTGTGTAGAAAAAGAAATGATGATCTTTTACCATTTTGCTGTTTGGATGAGCGGTTATGATTGAGATGTCGATTTTTATTTTCTCGCTGTTTCTTAAGAGCCAAACAGGGAAATTTGTGGTTTTTACTCTGCAATTCTAATGTTAACCGAAGTGACTTTTGATTTCCTTTGATCTATGCTATTATCTTTTACAAGATTTAGCGTTCTTTTTATATCCGACGAATCTTTAATTTGTCTTCACAAGAATTCTGAGTTAGATTTCTGTTTCGGAATTGCAACTTGAAGTTTTTGTAATATATTCAATGAGCGTGATAAGATGGTTCAACTTAGGTACATTGTTAACATAAGTTCTTGTATTTTCCTGTAAAGAAAATAACAGATATTTATGGTATTCTTGTCATATATTTGGTTTCCAATTTATATTGTTGCTTTTGGTGATAGTGGACTTCTAGACCCGTACCAGTAGTCAACTGGATGAACTTTCGTCACATTTCTGATAAAAATGTTCACGTGAATTAAGAGTCTATCTTTTGTTGCTCTAATGAATTGTACAATTGGATTTTAAGATACTTTGTCAGGAGTTCAACAGTTTTAATATTCTCTGGGTTTTTCTTATAATTTGTGTGATTTTGTAAAGGACCTGCTATTATGCTTATCTTTGTGCGGATGGAGGAGGGTATGCCTCACTGATAGAGTGGTTTTGTATTCCTGAAAATTTTCTATTTTGAACATTTACAAGTTTTGAATTTGAACAACCATGTTTAATTCATATTTCTTGTTTCGGTAGGAGTATATTTGATGGTCATTGCTAGTGGATTTTTATTGATATGGCGTTCCAAATTACTGCTTGAATCACTTGATTTTCTGTGAATGTGGTTATTTGTATTTTTGGTTGTTGAGATCACCTTGGGTCGCTTCCCTTTCTTACTTTTAAATGTAAATGTGCTTTGATCATTTTAGATTATTATAAATTCGGTGCATGGTTCCAGGTCACTTTGGCATGGATTCTCAAGCACAAACTTTCCACCAGCGCTCAGTGTCTATCAAACTATGGCCCCCGAGCCAGAGCACCAGGATACTGCTTGTAGAACGAATGACCAAGAATTTCATCACTCCATCCTTTTTGTCTAGAAAGTATGGTCTGCTCAGTAAAGAAGAGGCCGAGGAGGATGCCAAGCAAATAGAAAATATAGCTTTTGCAGCTGCTGACCAACATTTTGAGAAGGAACCATATGGTGATGGAAGTTCAGCAGTTCAAATTTATGCTAAAGAGTCCAGTAAGCTTATGCTGGAAGTTCTCAAAAGAGGGCCCAAAGTAAAGGAACATGGAGAGGTGATGCAATATGAGAAAGATACTGCTACCCATGGAAGTGTCTTTGATATATCTGGGAGTCGCCGGTCCTTTATTGATGCTGAGGAGGCCGTGGAACTGTTAAAACCATTAAGGGATCATGAAAAATTGTATACCAAGATTTGTTTTAGCAATAGAAGCTTTGGTCTGGATGCAGCCCATGTTGCTGAGCCAATCTTAACATCTATCAAAGATCAATTGAAAGAAGTAGACCTGTCAGATATTATTGCAGGAAGGTCAGAAACAGAAGCTCTTCAAGTCATGAATATATTTTCTTCAGCCCTGGAAGGATGTGTTTTGAGGTATCTCAATCTTTCAGACAATGCCATGGGTGAAAAGGGTGTCAATGCATTTGGGTCACTCCTGAGGTCACAAACTAATCTAGAGGAACTTTATTTGATGAATGATGGCATATCAGAAGAAGCTGCAAGAGCAGTTTCGAAGTTTATCCCATCCACTGAGAAGCTTAGGGTCCTTCACTTTCACAACAATATGACTGGAGATGAGGGGGCAATTGCCATCTCTGACATGGTAAAACGTTCACCTCTCTTGGAGGATTTTCGTTGTTCTTCCACAAGGGTGGGCTCCGAAGGGGGCATAGCTTTAGCTGAAGCACTTGGGACATGTTCCCATCTGAAGAAGCTTGATTTGCGTGACAACATGTTTGGAGTACAATCTGGGATTGCTCTGAGTAAATCTCTATCTGCTTTTGCAGATCTTACTGAAATTTACCTGAGTTACCTTAACTTAGAAGATAAAGGAACAGAAGCCCTTGCTAATTCTCTTAAAGAGTCTGCACCCTCACTTGAGGTTTTGGAAATAGCGGGAAATGACATTACAGCCAGATCGGCTGCTGCTTTAGCAACCTGTATAGCAGCGAAACAATTCATTACCAGGTTAAACTTGTCTGAGAATGAACTGAAGGATGAAGGTGCGATTTTGATCAGCAAAGCAGTTGCAGAGGGTCATGGTCAGTTAACTGAGGTTGACTTGAACACAAATTCAATTAGAAGGGCTGGAGCAAGGGCGTTGGCACAGGCTGTTGTGCACAAACCTGGGTTCAAGTTGCTGAACATAAATGCTAATTTCATATCAGATGAGGGGATTGATGAGGTAAGGGAGATTTTTAAGAATTCACTGAATGTGCTTGGGCCTTTGGATGAGAACGACCCTGAAGGAGAAGATCTTGATGAGGAGGCTGAAGAGGATGCTGATAATGAGGTTGATTTGGAATCAAAGCTTAAGGGCCTTGAAATCAAGCAAGAAGAGAATAACTGATACATGCAGTTTGCTGCCTTTTGTTAATTTGATTTAAAACTTGTTCAGATTCCAACTTTTCTGATTAGCTAGATTGTTTCCATATGAGCTATTTCAGCGGTTTTTAAGCCATGGTGAAATAGATCGGTTGTTGTAGACTAGGCTCGTTATTTGAAACATTCAACATTCGAGAGTCTAGCTAGTTGTATGCTCTCGTGTCCCTGTTACTTAAGTTGCTGGCAGCCAGTTTTCTGGTTATGTATGCAAAACTGGGTCAGCCGAGTAGAGTACTGGTTGAGGTACATGGCTACATATATTTTGAATTCAGATCTCCAATTTCAATTTCTTTTGTCTGAAAAAAAAAATTTACAGAATCAAGATTAATTAAAGGTAGAGGCAGGTAATATAGGTCCGTCCACTTGATTTACATTGTTTCTTCATTTTTTATTAAGCATTTCAAATTATTTAGTAAGTTGCTTCCCGGTGAAAGAATATCACATAGGATATGAGATACAAGAAACAAAAATTGAACTTCATCACACTGCTACTGGAACTTTAAGGGACTCAATTATCTTGTCATCTAACTCAAATTTGATGGTTTTCTTGTCTCTCCCGATCTTTAAGTACTCTTCAAATCGCTCCTTCAAGTCTTCGGTGAGGTTCGTGGTAGATTTCCATCCTAGAATTTCCTTGGCAGCTCTTGGTTCTGCATAGAAGTGCTGCAAAGTAGGCGAAAATTTTAACTCATTGCAACACAACAATGTCAAAAGTACAAAGAAACTGCATGATCAGTTATAAGTGCCCTCTTTGGATCAAGACAATTTATTACCATGTTCCGGAATGGAAAAGCTTTCTTTGCATCAACTCCAGCAGCTTTTGGATCATAATGCACTATGTTAACAGGGCGTCCAGCAGCTTGAGCACAAAGTTTTGCCAATCCATCGAGGGTCACAGCACGATCACTTACACAGTTGAAAATGTTACTAGATGCAGCGTCGGGGTTCTCAACGGCTAGGGTAAGCATAGAGGACAAGTCCCTAACATGGGAGATGTTGGTAAGTTGCAATCCGGAACCAGGGATTGGAACTGGTCTGTTCCTCAAAATTCCTGCACAGAAAATATCATGAAACAACATAGTAATATATTATGAACTATCAGAAAAGTGCTTAATACTGTCTACTTACGATCGAAGAACCACTCCTCGCAATCTTTGTTGTTGCCAGAACCTAGCATGTATTGTGGGCGAAATATTGCCCAACTACCAAATATCTCTGCAATGTACTTCTCTACTGCAACATGACTAGCATCAGCTTTAACAACATCCTGCCATAATGAAGGTTTTAGTTCACCACTAAAGCAATGAGGTCTTAGGTGAATGCAAGAGGAATTAGAGACAAAATATACCCCTTCAACATGAGGTGGCTCCTCAGTTGGCTTGTAAATTCCAGCACTGCTGATGTACAGGAATTGCTTCACACCAGAACTCTTGGCCCAATCTGCCACAGGCCTATGTGAAAATTACAAAGATTTGTTTAGTTTCCAATCAAGCCCCCCAAATCAAAGCCAAAGTTCAATCTAAAAAAGGGTTTGAAATTTATAAATTTAAAAAACAAAAAGAAAAAAAAAGAATTGTAAGCAAAATGTAGAGAGAACAGAGTCGCACCATATTTGAACATTTAGACAGCATAGCATACAAAAGCTACCCCAATTGAAATTGAGTTTTAGAGAATCAAAACAACCGACCTCACAGTGTCCAAATCTTTGCCATTGTTTTCCAACACAACATCAAATGCTGTTCCTTCCAAAATCTTTCCAATCTCCGCAGGTTCTCCCCACACAGTCTTCCCTCCAGCACTTACAATTTCCTAAAAGAAAAAGTATTCAAATCACCCAAAAGTTCCAACCATAAATAGGAAAAATCCCACTTGGAAAATTCAATTAGAAAGAGATATAAACATGTGGAACAAATTTTGCAGTGAAAAAATGTGGAAAATATTAACTGAGAATCTGCTAAATGGGGGCTTCTTCATCTTGTCTGAGCTCTCTTCACCAACAGTCAATATGGTGACTTCATGGCCAGAACCCAGAAGCTCTTTTGCAAAGTAGAATCCAATCACTGCATGCCCACCACCATTTGTATTCACTATCAGGACCTTTTTCTTCTCTCCAGCACTTGCCTTGATACTGAAGGAACAACGGTTGAAGCGCCTGGAAATTGCAGGGTACGCGACAGAAGAATGAGAAATAGAGAGAGAAGAGGAGAGAGTAGAGAAGTGGGAGGAGGAGGAGAGAGAGAGGCGTGGAAGATGAGAGAGAGAAGGTGGAACAAGGTTGGAGGGTGTAGAGGAAAAGAGCACAGAGGGTGATGATGAAGTAAGAGTGGCCATCGAGTACGAGCCTGTGACTGATTGTATGAGAACCAGCAATTCTTAGTACAAGATAAAGAAACCGAATGAGTTCTTTTTTTGGGGTTGGATTTTCCATTTTTCAGCTCATTAAATACACATGTAGCTAATGAAAAATGAAAAGGATAGGATAGGAATTTAGAAGTAAAGGCTTTTTATCCCAATGGTCCTTGTACTATGTCAAACTTCGTTATACCCTTCATGACTCGTTTGGGAATAACCGATTCTTGGGGGCCAATCTTGTTTAAATTAAAGATAATGTTGTCAAATTTGGTGTTGGAGGGGGTCATGGAGGGGTGGGGAAAATTGGGACGAGGGGTGGCTGAGGGCTTGGGTCGTCGAGGGAAGGTTGGGGGAGGAGAGATCGAGGGGAGAGGGGAGTAATGGTGGGTAAGAGTAATTTGACAATATTCTTAAATTGTAACACAATTTTGGATGAATTTGGTGTCGATGATGACATTAATGTGCCATACAAGTGACTGATGATATCATTATACCGTTAGCGACAAAAGACCAAAAGTAAAAAAGAATTATGATGATCAAATAACTTCCAAAATGTAATTCCATAGTGGAAAATAAAAAGATAAAAGATAGTTAAGAAGACATGCAAAGATATATATGAGTTTAGAGCGTGATAGGTTGATGATCTTAAAACTGCAATTGTTCAATTTAAACAAATTATTCACAATCTTTGTTTGATCTAAATAGATCATTCATGATCTCTTTCGATTTAAATAGATCATTCACAATAATTTATAATTTCACTCACATTATAACACGTGTTGGTTTAGAAGTTATAATTTAAAGTGTAATATTAATGGTTATATAGGTGTGAAATTTGAAAAGATGATAACACCTTATGGATGCAACATAGTTAGTGTCCCACACAATAATTCCTCTCTCCTAACCTAAAAAGCCACCTCACTTTAGTCAAGATAGAAACAGGAGAAAGTAGTGGATCAGATCCACTTTGAGTTGAGATCAATAATAAATAAAATAATTGAAATAGATTTTATAACGTTGGCTTTCGGCGCATCTATATATACAATATTAAATCAAGCCCACTATCACAAGCTCCTCCAAAATCCCAAAAACTAGCCGTTACTTTTCCTCTGTTCTCTCGAATGGGAGCTTCAGTGGATACGCCATCACCTACCCACCTGAACCACAAGGCTACAAGCTTATTCATGGCTTCTTCTTCTTCTTCTTCTCCTCCTCTGTTCAGTCCCTCCTCAGATAAGCGCTTTTGGAGCTCTCTCCGCAGCCGGATCGACACTCTTCTCGACGATCCCAGCTCCAAAATCCCAACTGCCCAAAACCCACCAAATGCTGATCCCTCTCTACCAGTTCAAATCGTGAGTGTCTCCTTTTACGCTTTGTTCTTGATTTCACTGTAAATTTTGCTTCTGGCCCAAAATGGGTTTTCTGTTTTGTTTTTAATTTAATTTCTTTTTTCTGTTAAAAGAATGTTGGAGGATTGAAGCGTGCAAAAGCAACGAAGGAAGACTCGTTGCTTTTGATGAGAGGCTTTGACTCCATAGCTCACACTTTGTCTCAGCTGTCCAACACTTTAGAGACTGCTCTTCAGGTAAAGTTCTATCCTTCCTGCAGACGGCTGAAAATTTGAACTTCTTGTTAATTTGTTCACAGTAAAAAGTGCATGCAAGATCTGAGTTTTGAAATTTGCTTTTCATTGCCTGAACTGTAGAAGTTTTTCAAAACCAGATGTGATTTGAGCTTATGCGACTTTCTTTGTTTGCCGTGTTTATAGGGAGCCAACGATCTAGCTAAGCCACCCACATTAACAGAGATATTCCATGGCCACCTCAACAAATCTGAGAGTAAAGAGAAGGACACAGAAGATCCCCATGTAGGACTGAAAAGGAAGTTTGACAACAGCCATTGCTCAGAGGAACAAGGAGACGATTCAAAAAAGGAAAATGAGCAAGACCCCAAAGACGGGAAGCTGAAGAAAGCTAAAAATGTAGGTTTCGCTTCTTTTTGTTCAGTGTGAAAATCTTTGATGGGACTTTCTTAGCTGCCTACTTTGAGTTGATTGCTAATTGTGTGCCTCCACAGCTTGCAATTTCTATGGCAACCAAAGCAGCTTCCTTTGCCAGGGAACTGAAGTCAATAAGGTCGGATTTATGCTTTATGCAAGAGCGCTGTGCTCTGCTGGAGGAGGAGAACAGGAGGCTCCGAGATGGATTGCATAAAGGGTTGAGGCCTGATGAAGATGATCTGGTGAGACTTGTGTGTTTCGATTGTTCCCAATGGATATTTTCTGATATGAGATAACATTTGCACAACATTAATCAATCTCTTGTGGAATATTTGATGTTGATATAGGTGAGGCTTCAATTGGAGGCACTGCTAGCTGAGAAATCAAGATTAGCAAATGAAAATGCAAATCTTGTTAGGGAAAACCAATGCCTCAATCAACTTGTGGAGTACCACCAGCTAACCTCCCATGACCTCTCTGCTTCATATGAACAAGTTATACAAGGGTTGTGCTTAGACTTCTCGTCTCCACCACGACCGATAGCAGAAGAGGCAAATGAAGATGATGGTGATAATGAAGTTTCTCGAACACCCCAAACCAATCTTTTTGGCTTCTCTGACCCTCGTGATGATGTGTGTTCTCACGAAGATCATTAGAATGGTTTTACAATTTGTTTCTTTCGGATTTGGAATTAACCTTTACTGATGTAAATTTTGTTCTGTTAAAATAAGTTACTACTACTCAGCAACAAATATGAATATAGCAATATTGTTGTGCGTCTATTAGATGCATAGCATGGCAAATGTCATAAAATATCAACCCAGATCCAGGGATTTCCAAATAGGCGATCTCAATGGAAATGAATTTTTTTTTTTTTTTTTTTTCTCTTTCCTGGACTCTATTTTTCCCTACTCAGATTATATAGTAGGTGATTCCAAAGGAGAGTAACTAAAACCCTACATAGTATATATGGTCCCTGTGAGACCCATAAAGAGTTCTAAGAAAAAGTTTTCAATCCCACTTCATGGAGCACAAAACAAGGGTCGATGAGCCCAAACCCAGACTGTAGTAAGAAAAGGCAGCTTACCATACCTAAACCAGCTCGCGGAAAAGATTGACAAAAAAAAACTAGATCTTTAGGGAAGGAATATTATACATCTTAACTGTTATAATCAAATCATAAACTTCAATCACACAGCACTGCTAATCATAGAATAAGCTTGAGAACGTTAGATTAACTTCTAATTCTTAACAAACCAAAGTCAGACTTCAAAGTTCAACAACCAAACAGATATCATATGAACAACCGAGTACTGAGTGCTTAAACCATCAGTAACATGCCCTTCAATGTTCTAACAAAATAAAGCTAGTTCCCAAACTAACAAGTTCCAATTTTTTTTTACAAAGACTGCTAAGCCAATCATATCAACCATTGTCCTCAGTTCCTTTCATTGCTTTAGGACTGTTTCTTTCTTTTAGCTGCATACTTGTGATCTCGAGCTTCTTGGGGAGATGAGACATTTACAACTCTTTCAGTAGCTTTTGATAAAGCTGAGACCAAAATCACATCCTTGATTTTCTCCATCACTCCAGAAAATGCACAAGTCCCTTTCTCATACTACAACCAACCAAAGAAAAAATGACAATCAAGAATCAAGCATTGGTCCACGTCATTTACAACTCTTACATGCAAAACAATCCTTTCCCTTTTAAATCTTTGAATGGTGTTATAAACTGCTATTTGTTAATGACAGCCTATGATTTATACTTTAGATATTACTAAAAGTGACAAAACCCACAATGACCCCAAAAGAAAGATGCACAAACCATAAAGTGGACAAATTATCCAAATCCTAAATGATATGGAAATTCAAGGTAGCATAAATTTTCTTACCCCTTCAAGTTTGCCAAGAGCTACTTCCAACTTCATAGAAAGCTCATGGTTTTCATTTTTCAAAGCCTCAATCTGCATATGTAAAGAAATGTTATAGCCCTTGAAAAAAAGATAGATAGTTCTTCACGATAAATGAAAATAACCTTCATTTGGGAGTTTATATACAAGCTTTTGTATCCTGACTCTGGAGATTTAGAAAAGATGGGGCTTCTCTTCTTTGCCTGATTACACAACCCCAATAAATTGTTTGAATAAGCAACAAAAATTAATATATGCAAGTAAACATCAAACTCTTATAATCCCCAGAGCAAGATGACTACCTTTGAGTTCTGTGTTTCCACTAATTGTATAAGATGATCAATTTTTTCTTCCATGCTTTTCTCACCCAAGGTTGGTTGTTCCTCCAAAAGAGGTTGCTCCTCTTCCACCATCTCCTCTTCCACCATCTCCTCTTCCATCTCACTATCACTAATGTTTTCAATCACGGGCTCAATGTTCTGGTTTTGAACAGGCATATTACAGTTTCGAATGCGTAAAGATCGCCTAACAACAGAATTGAGCTGCTTCGGTCTTTTTTTTGAATGAGAGGATTTGGTAGATTTTTCTTGCATCATATGCATTGAGTTAGTTTTCTCCAGCGGAGGGCTTGCGTTTTCATGTTGCTGGTCCATTTGTTCTGACGAAGGATTTGGCCCCTCAGGTTGTGGTTCCTCAGTTTCAGATGATGGTTGTGTGGCTTTAGGCTTTGAATTGAAGACCATAATCATGTATTAGTAAAATTAACCATAATTAAACAATTCAATTTAGTATGTGCAGATTATAATAGTAATAATAAAAGACACTATCATTGAAGGTAACAAAATTGCTAATAAAAGAGAACCAAAATATCAGTAATCTAATCTGCAACTACAAATGCATTGAAGAACCAGACATGGACAAGCTTCTTAATGTATTTACCTAAAGAGAATTTGATCTTTGCATTTACAAAAACATAGGAAATTACTAGAAAGCTAAAGAATATGAAGAAGGGCCCTCTGTAAGACAATTTATCTTTCAAAAAATAGTACACATAATTTATGTAAAGCATTCTTTTATTTCTGTTTTACCCAACAAATTAAAGCAAGAACTTCCATTAAAATGTCTAGTTCCTCGCCAAGCAAAGCATAGATATGAATACTCCAAACAAAATAAGACTAATAGCATTCCTCATTTAGCCTATCTACCATTCCAAACTGAATATAGCATAATCATTATGCTCTCAAAATGTGGAGTGCAAGAAGATGAAGAGTAGTGTCAATAGAGCCGGCTAAAATACATAACATTTTATAATCAAAACAAGGATGCCTCAAATACATAAATCAACTTGTTTGTAATTCAGAGAAACGCATCTCTGTCTTTAATATATACAAAACCCTAAATCCACTCTACGAGTAAACACAATAAACAAACAGAAAAGAAAAAACCTTTTAACCATGAAAGGAAAAACAAAAATCAGAAGAAACGCATGGTGCAGCAATACAACCAACCAATAAAGCAACATATGTTATATTGTACAATGGGTTTAGAAAAAACAAAAGAATAAGAAAAAAGCTTCAGCCTTTGTTGAAAAGAAATAAAATGCTGGTTGAGCAAAACAAAGATGAAAGTTAAAAGAAGTTCACCGTATGAACCGTTCCTTCCTTCCTTGAAGCATTTGGTCTCCTACCCATCTCTCTCTGTAACTCTCAAATACAGAGCTTGCTCTTGTGTCTGTTCTGTTCTGCTAGTGTGATCAAAAGAGGAAGCGTCTTTTACTCTCTGCTGGCTGCTCCCATTGAATGTCCTTGGAAACGTGCAAGAATCGAAGGGTAATTTCCTTCGTAATGTTCGAGGCTTCATCAATCTTCACCGTTCAATTTGTTGCCTATTTTGAATCGCTCAATTATGGCCCTCTGTTTTCTCACCGTACCATTTAGCGCCCTTTTACCGTTTTCACCATCTTCAACCCAAATGGAGTTAAATCCAAAATTTTCCCCTTTAAAATACAACTATTCACAGACACACATACTATGAACAAATAATTGTGTATTTATATACTTTAGGATGATTTTGAGGTCAGATTAGTTAATTACCATTTTGGTCGTTGGATTTTTTTATAAGGTTATATTTAATCAGAAAAAATCATGGCCATTTGAGGGGAGGAAAAAGTTTAAGTTCTGATTTAAGAAAAAAACGAAGCAAACAAGTGACACGTGGCTCCTCATGGATCAACACAACGGCTAATCTATAGCATCAGCACATGGGCTGTATTTTAGCATCAACACCCGAAAATTTAGGTCCAACTCAAATGTTGAGTGGAATTTAGTGCCGGACGGAAATTATGACCGGACCTATATATGCCTTGGAGAATAAATTTGAGACTACAATCCAAAATTTAACATTTGGCCCTCTCCATTGGAGATGGCCTTACCATTTCCATAGTGGCAAAATTTGAGAGGAACTTTTATAATTTGAATGGCTTGTCTTGCCTGTTTATTCTTCTTCTAGATCCACAAAGTGGCCCATCACTAATAACAACGCATTTATAGCCCTTGGTTTCGTAGTTAAGTGATTTAGAACACTTGTTACTCTTGCATTCTAGGTCTCACACCCTTCTCTCTTAACAAATCAAACATTTAATTTTTCATCAATCCCCAAAAACCCACATCAAATTTAGATCTTAATCCAAATTGAATATAGCATCATTCTTTATGCCCTTATTAATTGAGAGCTGATTTTCTCACTCTTTTTTTGTCTACTTATACTCTCTTTTTATTATAATAAAAAGTATTAAAAAATAAAAAAGAGTATAAACGATCGAAAGGGGAGTGAGAAAATCAAAACTCTATTAATTTTGTCAATTAGTAGGGTTATCCACGAATCGGCCTCATGATCGTTTGTCTTGTCCGTAAATAATTGCACGTTGGTCTTTTTGCAGTTGAGGACAAGTACACTGGATATGGGTATCCGTGGCCCGACCCGTTTTCTCCTCTTTTGGGGCTCACAAGGGGGCCCATCACCAAATAACGTCCACTTTCATTTCATGAACACTTGGGAACGATAAGATGATAAGATAAAAATCATCGTCCTCTTCTTCTTCTTTTTCTTCAATCCGTACACACTGTTTTTCTCTGTCTGAAGAGTGAAGGCTCTTAAACCCAAGCTTTCCCATGGTACCTCTCCTTTCCTTCCACACTTCCGCAACGCAGCCTCTCTTATTGACCCCAAGCTCAACCCCATTTCTCCACACCCACCTCTCTCGCATCAAATCCCAGCCTTCACGACGAACCCAATTTCTCATTTCATCAATCTCCCAAAACTCAAACCAATCCACCAACCAAAACCCTCAAACGCCACCAAAGCAGCCTCCGAGAACCCAGTTCCCTGGTGGGTTCAAGCGTCCAGAGATCAAGGTTCCCAATATTGTGCTGCAGCTGGACCCTGATGATGTATTGGTCGGTGATGATGCTTTGGATTTGATCGACAAGGCGGTGTCGAAATGGGTTGGGATTCTGGTGCTGAATGGTCGTGAAGCAAGTGGTGGCAGACTCTATGAGGCCGCCTGTAAGTTGAAGTCGGTGGTCAGAGATCGCGCCTACTTGTTGATCTCCGAGCGTGTTGATATCGCCGCCGCAGCTAATGCTAGTGGGGTTCTTCTCTCTGATCAAGGTCAATCGTCATTCTTCAACTCATTTTACTACTTGGGTTGTGAAAATTTTGATATACATACACACGTATTTGATTAACCAAGTGAATGAAGCTGCCTCAGTAGAAGCTACTGGTGTGAGTGTGACTTAATCAAACAGCTGCTGTATAGTATACAACTTCTTATATGGCAGCTTCATTGTCGTTGATAATATATATAACCTCTTTGTTTGTATTCATCTTTGATACTTTTAAGATTATAATTTGCTGACTCATTGTGTTTTTATGTTCTCGCTTAGCTAATTTTAACCTTTATGAGCTATACAACCTAAGTGGATCGTATTGAAACAAGAATAATCTGATGCAATTTAGTATTTTTTTTAGGTTCATTACATTTGTTATTGAAAATCCCATGACTAGGTCAGTGATGTGTTTATTTCTTCTTACATAGGTCTTCCTACCATTGTTGCAAGAAGCACAATGATGGCTTCCAAATCTGATTCAGTCATCCTTCCTTTGGTGGCTAGAAATGTTCAAGACATAGATGGTGCCATAAGTGCCTCCAGTTCTGAAGGAGCTGATTTTCTTATATATGGTATTGGTGGACAGGAAGAAGTTCATGTGGCACTGAATCCACTATTTAAAAATGTGAAGATACCGATATTTGTCATGTTCCCTTCATATGATGCTTTATATTCGGAGGTGCCAACATTACTCAAATCTGGCGCTAGCGGATTAGTTACTTCTTTGAAAGATTTCAGGCTGCTTAATGATGAGGCTTTGAGCGAATTGTTTGACATCGTCTACATGAAAAATGGTAAAACACAGGATGAAATTGAAAGCTTTGATAATCTCACAGTTTTGAATGTGCTTAATGGTCTCAATGACGACAAAAATGTTGCTGGATTTCTTAAATTGGAGGATAGAGAGAAGCAGTTCATAGAAACAGAGAGATCAGTGTTGCTGAAAGCAATAAATGTCATCCAGAAAGCTGCTCCACTGGTGATCATTTAATTAAATTTTTTGGTAGTTGAAGTTAATCTTGAGATAATTCAAGTTTCATTACTCTTTATTTGTATACTTTATGATGGATAGTGACGTATTGATTTTGGATGACAGATGGAGGAGGTTTCACTTCTCATTGATGCAGTTTCTCAAATTGATGAGCCATTTTTACTGGTTATAGTGGTAATTGTGTGCTGAACTTCAACAAATTGTGGTTCCAGGGGTATACATTGGTATTAGCTCTATATTTCATGTAAATCCTTTTTCTTTTCTTGATAGAGTTTAGAATTAAGGTGGCCTCTGATAATATTATTGCAAACCTTATATAAGAAATACTTTATAAAACTGTTCCATGATACCTAAATTTATAGGTCATTAATGTTTTCAAATAAGGACCTGACAAGCAGCTTGGTTCTATTCTATCTGCCTAGGACAATATGTTTGATGAAATGATTTGTTATTGCATCTTGTCCTTCGGAAACTGCAACCTATCCTTTTTGAGCCTTTGTTTATATTTATGCTTCCAAACTTACTGTTTAGAAGGTGTGTGACTATCCTTTAATTGGTTATTTATCATGTTTGAGCTGGACGAATCATGATGTGAATTTTGTGTTATTTTTCTGAAATTGGCTTTATTTTATATCATGAGTTCTGTTGGAATGTTTCTGGTGATCTCCTATGACTTTACCTCTCCTTTTGTCAACAGGGTGAGTTTAACTCGGGTAAGTCAACTGTTATTAATGCACTTCTCGGAAGTAGATATCTTAAAGAGGGGGTTGTTCCTACGACTAATGAGATCACGTTCTTACGCTATTCTGAGATGGATTCTGGTGAGGAACAGCGTTGTGAAAGGCATCCAGATGGTCAATATATATGCTACCTTCCTGCTCCAATTCTTAAAGAAGTGAGTGGATTTAATGTAGTGCTAATCAAACTATTTATTCGGTTCAACAATAGTGCAATCCCTTATTTATAGATTCTGGTTACTCTGCACTTTATTGAAATGATTCTCATATGTATTATAAGTAGCCACACATGCACATGCTGGCTGATGCACAAGATAAAAATGTGTACTGCAGGCAGAACAAAATTTATCGTACATCTTGCTTAGTCTTTCATATTCCTAGAACTAGATTAATGCTAGTTTATGATAAAAACTGCATTATCTGATGCACATGTTTTGTTTTAAATTGAAAGCAGATGCACGTTGTTGATACACCTGGAACTAATGTGATTCTCCAGAGGCAGCAACGCCTTACTGAGGAATTTGTGCCCCGTGCCGATTTGCTTCTTTTTGTTATCTCTGCTGACCGCCCATTAACTGAAAGTGAGGTATGATTCACTGGTTCGTCATGGGCTACGTGCATCTCATTCTTTTGTCCAGGCTTCTACCTTTTTTCAAATAAAATACTTATTTATCTAGAAAAGTAGGATGTAATTTAAGATATACATCTTGAAAACTATCATTCGTTGTTATCTGAGTATGGAATCAATAACAAGGTTCATGAAATGATTCTACGTCAAACTCGAAGGTTGATATGTTTGTATTAGTAGATACCCGTCCGAGGCTGCAAATATCTGTATGCTTAGGAAGGCATTGTTGTAGATCTTAAAGTCTTTTAGCTGATTTTGGCATTGATTTATGACAACATGTGAGGAAGCCCTTAATATGCTATGCTTGTGGAATAGTTGTACCTATTCCTCATTATCACTAAAGCTGATTTCAGTACCACTTGTTCTCCAGGTTGCTTTCCTTCGTTATACTCAGCAGTGGAAGAAGAAAGTTGTGTTTGTCCTGAACAAATCTGATATCTACCAGAATGCTCATGAGGTTTTGTTTTGCAGTTACTCATATAGATTGCTGATATTACTTTTGGCAATCCTCTTTCAGTAAAATCAGTTAATATGGTGCTTCCATCTATTTGAGCTTCTCCTGTGTTCTTCCTGTTATGTTTATCCAATGTCATAATTTGGTGCAGCTTGAGGAAGCTATGTCATTCATCAAGGAGAATACACAGAAATTGCTGAATACTGAACATGTGACATTATTTCCTGTCTCTGCGAGATCTGCTCTTGAAGCAAAACTTTCAGCTTCTGCTTTGGGGAAAGATTATGCAAAACTATTAGGATCTGATTCACAGTGGAAAACCAGTAGCTTCTATGAACTTGAGAATTTCTTGTATAGTTTTTTAGATGGGTCAACAAGTACCGGAATGGAAAGAATGAAACTCAAACTGGAAACACCGATTGCAATTGCAGAAAAACTACTTTCTGCCTGTGAAACTCTTGTTACACAGGACTGCCGATATGCCAAACAGGACTTGGCCTCGATAAATGATATAGTTGGGAGTATAAAGAACTATGCAGTGAAGATGGAAAATGAAAGCATTGCTTGGAGAAGAAGAATTCTGTCTGTGGTATGTTTTGCAGAAACTTATGCCCTTGTATAATCCAATGGCAAATTGATGGAATAGTTTCATATACTTAGTTAACGAGTTGTGTCTGCACATACAATTGCAGATTGATACCACAAAATCACGTGTGGTAGAGCTCATAGAAGCTACTCTGCAATTATCAAATCTTGATCTTGTTGCTTATTATGTTTTCAAAGGGGAAAAAGCTGCCTCTATTCCAGCAACCACAAGGGTTCAAAATGACATTATGGGTCCTGCATTTTCAGATGTGCAAGTAAGTTGATAGCCTTAACTTTGTTCCATTAACTTTTTCCCCTATTACTTTGGCAAGCCTTGAAATGTAATTTTGAATCATGCAAGGATTTTGCCTGTATGAATATGCCTAAGATAACAATTTGCATCTTTTCTGGATTTCATCGTAGGAATTAAAGATTTGGTTTTCTCTTCTTGTGTGTTCTTGCATTATCTTTGTCACCATGCTTGATTGTTTTCTGTGGACTTTGATTCTTTTTTTACCGTTTAATGTCCATGTCTTGTCATATAGAAACTACTTGGAGAATATGTGATATGGTTGCAATCAGACAACGCTCGTGAAGGAAGGATGTATGCAGAAACGTTCGAAAAACGCTGGTCTTCATTTGTCTATCCGCACAGACAGGTGCATTTGGAGACGTCACTGGAAAAAGTAAATGAACTCAGCTTGAAAGTGATAGAGGGCTTCAGTACCAATGCTGCTTCCAAATTGTTTGAGCAAGAAATACGTGAAGTGGTAAGTTCAATATTATTCAGGATATGGATTAGGATTTGGTGTTCTAGATGAAGAACTAGTTATGATTAAAAAGTTTGAGATACTTATGTGGTGTTTTGAGGTAGAGATATGCTATTTATTTTACTTTTCCTTTAAAAGAAAAACAATGAAGAGATTGGATATGATTATGGCTTGTGACAAGGTGCTCCATATATATTATTGTATAAAATATCTTGTTAATTCAATCTGATTCACTTCAATTCCAGTCGCTGGCAACTTTTGGTGGACTAGGAGCAGCTGGTTTATCAGCTTCACTTCTGACATCTATACTGCCGACCACTTTAGAAGATCTTCTTGCTCTTGGTCTTTGCTCAGCTGGCGGGTAATGTGTCTTCTTGAATTGAACTCTTTCTGTTTGTCTTAATTTCTTTACTTGGTAATTCTCTTTTATTCTTGAGGCATGCCAAAGTTTTGCGTAAACATGGCAGAAATCCTCTGCTCTATGACTTAATAAACACTCAAATCATATGTTTTTATTTGTTTCATCTCTGATTTAGGTTACTAGCGGTATCAAAATTTCCCGCTCGTCGGCAAGAGATGATAGATAAGGTGAAGAGGACGGCAGATGTGTTGGCACGTGAAGTTGAAGAGGCCATGCAGAAAGATCTTTCAGAAACTATTGAGAATATGGAAAGCTTCGTGAAAAATATTAGCCAGCCTTACCAAGATACAGCACGGCAGAGACTAGAGAAACTCCTAGAGCTTCAAGATGAAATATCCAATGTTGATAAACAACTTCAAACGCTACGAATTGAAATCCAAAATCTACACGTGTCATGATCCCAGCTTGAGTTCAGCCTTCATTCCTTGCATTTCACCTTGTAACGGATGCATTGTTATGTATTTCCTCCCCCTTTTTTTATTAAATTTGTTCTCCCCCCTTAGTTGGGGTAACAAGTGTAATATATTGTTATGTATCAATAAGAAGAATTACTTGGAAGTGAAAAGCATGTAAATTGTACTTTCGATGCTTGGAAAATTTCAAGCTTCGGTGACATGAGGCAAAACAGTAAAACTGAAGGAAGAAAAATTACCTTCGCTTTCTCTTTTTACAGCGACTCTAATCGAACTTCGGCGTAAGGGTAGGCTAATTGCTATGGCCAATTGACCTTAACCCCCATTATAGTTTATAATTAAAACAAAGAAGAATAATCAGACCAAAAAAATAAAAAGAAAGACGAATTGATTCCTGCTCTGACAATTTCTTAAGGTGGTGTGTTGATGGAGAATGGACCTTTTGAAACTTAATTTCCTCTTTAGTTGGTGGTTAATATCATTCAATTCTTGATAAAAAGAAAATTCCTAGCACTAACAAAATTCCTTATTAATGCCAATTAAGATCGAAGGACCACAATCAAACATTTGGAAAGCCAATCTTGATGCTTTCAATGATCATATCTACGTACCGTCCATAAAGTGTGTTTATAGTTTATGCCTGCAAAACTTAAGCACAACGAGTAGGAGGTAGCCATTTTATTATCCTAGGGACATGTCACATGTCGCATGATTCAACTGCCAAGTGAAACAAACATGCATGTTTAAATTAAAGGAAGAAAAAGTTGTCACTAACATGACATGGTCAAAAGTTGTCAAGGAGTGCGCTTTGTTAACATGTTTGTGCAAACCATGAATTTGATTCCACCATTTTTCTTGGGAAAGATCATAAAGTTGAAGTTGACAAATTTATCTATATATTAATTAGGGTTTTCAGAAGAAAAGGTGATCATAAATTAATTAAATTTAACAAGAACCAGCCAGGGAGCAAGATGAAACAAAGAGACCCTTTCATTGGTTTGCAAAGTTACTCTTTTTCTCTTTTCTTCTTCGTTGGCTAATGGAGATTCTAAAACAAAAGCAGATATGTGAAATATTTTGTTTAAAAAGCAAAGTCTATGGCTAGGGCTCAAAGGCGGAACCAGAAATTTTTCAACGTGTGGACTAATTAAAGTGTTGGGTAAAATCTAATGAACGTTTTATTTTGTACTTACAGTTTTTATAGCATTTATATAAATAAAAGTATATATTAAATCATATAACGCACTTACCATAGTTTCATTCACTCTGTGTCCCAAAAAAAAAAAAATGTAATTTTTATATTTATTATATCATTATAGTTTGACCTCTGTATATTTTATCAAGGATCACTCGTTTCTTCTCTGCATCAATTCCTTTAATATTCTATCTTTTGGTTCAACAATGAATCACACTTTTACCTCACTGGTTAAAATTCCAAAGATGACGAAGATCTTTTAGACAAATCTTTTGGTCTTGTGAGGAATACACTAAATCTCTGTTTCACATGAAAAAAAAGATATGAATAATTTTCTGTTGAACGAATATTTCTGTTGTGGTTAATGGCTTTTATGGTGTAAGAAGCAAGTTCTCATAGTTGTGAAGGCCAAGTCTCTATCTTTCTGTCCTATTTTATTCCATGAATGAGTTAAGAATAACCATTAGCTAATTAGGGGTAGGGGGAACATAAATAATTACTAATCATCTTCTCCTATTTGAGGCGATATGCGGAGGAAAACCGCGTAAATCAAATTATTCGTATTAGATTCGAGGATTAGCATTATTGAACATCAGAACATCCAATGTACTATCTGTTGATTTCTGAGCAGTTTGTTCATTTGTTTCCTCAAAAGACTATTACAAGTAACTACTAATTTAGCTCTCTTAAGGTGCATACAGGTACAAACTGACCCAAATAATAAATAATTGCATGAGAAATTAAGATGTTTGATTTTTACAGTCAAGTTCAAGGCTCCAATAATGCAGATGTGTATATATTGGACCTTCTCAGGCAATCATAGGCCCTGAGCATGAGGACTGGCAAGCAATTCTGATCATTGCTCCATAAAAAAAAAAAAAAAACATATATATATATATATATACGCATATTTCACATGCAAATTATCAGGTGCAAGTAATTTCTGAATTACAGTAAATACTTATCCATAAACTTTTGGATTTTATCTTTAAAAACTATGTGGTTACATATTCTTACAGTGCTCATGCTTCTGTATATTTCATCAAAACAGAGATAAAATTATCCACTGATTAATTGAACCTATTGCAGCTAAATTAATTGCAGGGTAACTCTTGTCTTGATGAAATTACCTGGGGGGTTTAAGATGGACAACAAATAAAAGACCAAACACAAAAGATAAACAACATGATGGATTTTTCCAATATCAGGAAAGGTTCTGGGATTTTACTAATGGGAACCAGTTTAGGGCAAGGCATCCATTTTATTTTACTGCTGGATGCCTTCAAGTCTTTTTCTGATGTGAAAATTATAGTAGCTGATAGTACTATAGTACGGCTCGCTTTGATTTTCGAACTGGTCTCAGTTCCTTGGAAATGCATGTTTTAAGCCGCACACGTTGGAAAGAAAAGTGCAGAGAAGGGTTAGGGATCTTGCTCTGCTCCACTTCATGTCGGCTGGTGCAAGTGGGCAGGGCAACTATTTTTGCTATCAACTTTAAGAGAAGAATTCAATCCTTCGTTTAGCTAAAATTCTTATATGACTGAAATTGGTTTGGTTTTCTTTTCTTTTCTTGTTCCGATATTTATAACAATGCATGTTGGCTCAATAGTTGGCTTAATTAACAGGACAAATGGGAAGAAAAGAAAAACAGCAACGAAAGTGGCATCCAATGCCAAATTTTTATGGCCAACTTTTGCACTTTGGTTGCCTCTGCAGATTGTGTGAGTGAATGTTAGATGCATGAGTTCAACTCAGAATTTCAAATGCTTGGAAAGCCTTGGCCTTTGATGCTGATGCAGCTGCAGCAAACACCTTTGGTGTTAATATTGCCTAATAAGTTAAAAGAAAATGTATTTTTATTTTTATAGTACACACAAGCATGTGGCTACTTTTTTTTTTTTTTTGGAATTTACCTAACAAAAGAAGATCTGGGAAAAATAGCAAAAGGGCAGGCCGCCCCCAGGGATAAAAAAGCAGGGAGATGTTGCTTTTCTTTTGCTGTGAAGAGTAAAAACTGCTACAAATTTGGGATTTTTGAGTGTGCAATAAGCTTCATGATTAGGGCTAATAACTCTTGCCTTAGAAGACAGTAAAGACCAAAGACAGGTTTATATTAACTTTAAGTGTCCTGTCCACCAATGGGTTCTTCTCATAATCTCAATTGGTCGGTGATTTTATATGTTTTATGCTGATTGGTTTCTGTTGCCACGCCGCTGTTTGGTCATTTAACTGCACCTTTTTTCTTTCTTTCTGGTATGAAAGTTGAAACAATTAGTCAATTGACAAATGGGTCCTCTAACATCATCAACTTAGTTTTTGACCAAAACACATGCAATAAAATAGGAATTCTGTGAATGAATATCAATTCCTTTATGTTCTCTCTGTTTGGTTTTCATTTGGAATTGGAAGTAAATGCAAATGGGTGAGAAAGCATTGTGTTCCGTAACAAATGAGGTAATTGCTCGTTTTCATCACATAAATTGATCCAACCCCACAATTATTTATAGTTAAGCAACAACAAAAAGTTGTCTTAGCGGCCAAGAATAACACGAAACTCATTCTGGAATTATTACCTCTGTTTTTCTTGGGTTTTCGAATTAGCATCTCTGTTTTCACAGGTTTTAAATTAAACTTGCTCTTATTAAAATCATACAAAGCAAAAACACTGTGAAAACATCTCTGAAGATTGTTCCGGAAGGAAAAAAAAAAAAAGGAAAAAACTATTGCAGAATCTGTTTTGATTTCAGTTAGAAAATGATGAAACCATTGAAGAAAGCTCAAAAGTCAAAACTATGATTTTTCTCCTGCTTTTTTGAAGACCATGTTAAAGAACAGTTTTTTAAAGACTCAACCAAACATGCCCTGATGATTTTGATCCGCCCTACTACAACCACGAATGCCTTTACGACCGTCCAAAATACATTTTAGTTTATTTTGAGTTTCATCTTTTTCGAATTCTAGCTCTCTATATGACAATAGGCTTATAACGTGTGGCAGTATGGAAAATAAAACGTATATGTATAATTCTAGTGGGCACAAAAGTTCCTTCCTTCACTAGACTCCACAGTTTATGACTCTACAGAGAAGCTACAAAAATCCCCCACCATCTCACTATAAATTCAAGCCCACCCCTTCCACTTCTCTTTCATATTCCTCACCCATCCGTTCCCTACCTCTTAATTTCTCTCAAGCCACCCGTCTGCAATTTTACCTAAACCAAAACCTGGGTTTGCTTTAAAATCTTGTCTTTGGTCTCATTCTCACACCACTTTTCTCATAAGACTTCAAATTTCTTACATTTTCATCCAAATTCAAGCTCCCCTCTTTCAACCCCCTCCCCTGTTCTGCCCTTTGCTCTGTTTTTTCTTTTCTGTTCAAATCCTTATTGTGCATATCAACATGTCGTCAACATCAAGCACTGTTTGCCATCAAGGGATGAAATCATGCCCCGAGCCTCTTGTTAGGCTCAAACTGGCTCCACCCAGGTCAAATTTTCCCTCAACCCCCTGTTGGGATTGCAAGCCTGACCCTCAAGAGACAGAGGAAATATCCCACATTGAAAAAACCATCACAACCACAAACAACAACTTGAACTTGATTGACAGCAAGGACGCTGACAAGCCTGGCTGGAACTTCCTCCAGTCTCTCGGCAACCAGAAAAATCAGACCACCAAAACAGAGACTGAAACAGAGAAAGTCTATGTCCACCCACTTGTGAAGCGCTCTGCTTTAATGCTGAGCCCAAAAAGCTTGGAAATGTGCACTGAAAGCTTAGGCAGCGAGACCGGTAGCGAAAACGGCGGTGATGACTTTTCTCTTTTTTCGCAAATTGATGCTGACATTTCTTTTCTCTCACTTGAAAGTAGTCGAAAAATTAACCCAACATGCACTCCCACTATTACAAGTGAGAGTTCTAAAATATCGAGTGACAATAATGTTCGAGCTTCACCGAAGAGATTGAAACGTAGTATTGCTACTAGTTTTCCTCCTCCCTTAACATCTATCAGTGGCTCCAATGGTGTTCAAGTGAGGCCTCACAGAGAAGGAGGCCGGCTAGTTTTG